AAATGAAGACGAGTTCTCCCAGAGATGATTAGCATTTGCTTCTGCCTGGTATCTGAGAGTATAATCAGTTAAAAATTGTCGGCTTAAGATGTTTTGGATTCACCCAGGCAATATAAATTCAAGTTACATCTTTGTGTGCGAGCTGGACCGTGACTCCAAGTTAACAGATATGACTTTGTTTTTTCCCCTGTCCACTAGGTGTCAAGGTTTAAAACAGTTAACTTTCTTTGTAGAGAGGGGGGTGTATGCTAGTAAGGGGCAAGTTTATTTCTAGTATATTTTCACACTGAATGAATAATCTTTGGAACCATAGCTTTCCGTGTGTGTGTGTGTGTGTGTAGGGCAGGTGATGAATTTTGTCTCTTATAAGGCAATGAAAACCAAGGCTTATGTTAATTGGGTTTGGCAAATGACTTAAGGGTAAAAGGCTGGCTTTAGGCTCTGCTCTTCTAGGTTCTGCCTGCATTTCATTTATGACCTAATAATTTCTTACTTATTTCCAGTTAATCAATATATTTAATAAGATTAAAAATAATTTTCCAGGAATTTTGTTTTCAGTGTGATCATTGACTGAGGTACAGAAACAGAAGCCTATATTCTTTTTACTTTGGTTATTATCCAAATTTTCCTTGAGGAAAATCATACTAAATAGAAGTACTTAAAATCAATATGCAAATATTTTGCAAGCAAATCTGTAGATTTTATAGACTTTACAATATATAAATATTAATTGTATGTTTGCCATATATTTGGTGGATGACTTTGTAAATTATTATTATTTTATTAAATAGAAGTTTAAATATTATCATTCTATAGTGCATTTAACCTTTGAACCACTCATCTATCAGGTATTGGCTCGAATTCACTTTAGGTGATTTGTGAGATTATGCTACTATTATACAACAATTTCAAAATGCTCTGTGATTTAGATCAACACATATTTATGTTTTACTCTTGTGTGATGTTAGTAGCTTCAGGTCAGCTTCCTCAGGACTGTTCCAGGGTAAAGGTCAGTTTTGGATCTACTCTATGTATTTTCTTATTCAGAGACCTTACTTGGAGCACACCTTTCTCACGGCAGCCAGCACAAGATTAAGAGATTGATCTGAACCTTGCACACAGATTTAAAGCAGTTAGCACGCGTCTCATCTGCTCCCAAACCATTGGCTAGAGCAAGTCACATCACCAAGAGTAATAATACAATCTACCACAGTCTTCAAAGTTGTGAATGCCTTATTTATGTCTGAGGTTGTTCTCAATCTTAAGCTTCAAGAAAAATCCTCATTAGCAACCTTTGGCAACATAATCATCTACATGGATGCTTATGAGGCTAAACAAAAATACAAAAACAACCTCAAGCCCAATCTCTCATTCTAGGTCAGGATTTTAAATGCATTCTGTGAGGAAGATTATCATGCCAGTCAGTGCTTAAACTGTTTTGGAAAAAATCCTTCTCATTCTTAGAAATTAATAATTTATTAAACACTAAGCAAAAGAGATGATTTTTTATTGGAGTTAAAATTGGATAGTTATAATTTAAAAGTTTTATTTAAAATGTTATTCTTAAAATCACTTTAGTAATAGCGAACTGCAAGGTATCTCTTAACATAGTAATGGGTATTATCGGATATTTTTCAGTTACAGTAAAAATCACACATAGTTTCTCTTTATGTTGTGATTACATTGAAAATAGTAGATTGATCATGTGCTGGAATCATAGAATATTAGATCTGAAAGTATCTGAAAAGCATATATTTTCAACTTTAGTGCAATGATACATCATTGTGTTGTGATCAGTTGTGAGATATGCCAAATCATTAGTTATTCATGATAAGGAGCTATTATAAGTAACTAGAGGCCCGACGCACGAAATTCGAGTGCGGGTACAGTCCCTAGGCCTGGCCTGTGATCAGGGCCATCTTCCCCAGCTGCCTGCAGCCGGCCCCGCCTCCCTGCCGCCACCCCCCTGCCCCCACCCTGGTTCCCCATTCGCCATAGGGTCAATATGCATATTATCCTTTTATTATATAGGATAGAGGCCTGTTGCATGGGTGGGGGCTGGCTGGCCTGCCCTGAAGGGGGTCCTGGATCAGGGTGGGGGTCCCTGCTGGGACAGGGCCAGCCTGGGAGAGGGGCCACCTGGGGTTGGCAGGCCGGCCATGCCCCCGATCAGGGTGGGGGTCCCTGCTGGGGGGTGGTGCTGGCCTGGGTGAGGGGCTGAGGGTGGTTTGCAGGCCAGCCACGCCCTCGATCAAGGAGGGGGTCCCTTCTGGGGGTCAGGGTGGCCTGGGCGACACCCTGGCTTTGTCAGGAAGGATGTCCGGAAGATGTCCAGTCTAATTAGCATATTATCCTTTTATTAGTATAGATAGTTAATATATAGAAGATTTGTGAAATATATACTTACATTTGTTATCCTATATCTTCACTTTCACTTACTTGCATTCTGATTTTTTTTTCTTGAGTATGGTGAAAGGAGTTGAAGCTAGTTTGGAAAGAATTTGTATAATCCTTGCCTAATCCTCTTCTGTCTTAGCCCCACTTTCTTATATTGGCTATTGTATAAACAAATAGGTGTACCATGACTATTTGTTTAAAATCTGAACATCACCCATTAAGAGAAAAGGGTTGACTATCATACCTTGAAGAGCATCTAGTACAACTCCCTACTTTTACCAGAACTTGAAATGCAGAGAGTATTTTATCTAGTCACACATCTAGTTAGCTAAGCCTATAACCTAGGCCTCTTTGCTTTCAGTACAGTACTTTTCCATTCCAAAAAATAACCATTCATTTTCAATAGTCAATATAAGAAAGTGGGGCTAAGACAGAAGAGGATTAGGCAAGGCAATTTGCCCCCTTTTTCTAACCTTGAGCCTCACTTCCAAAGTAAAGGAAAAGCACCCGAGAACAGAGCCCTGTTGGTATATTTTGCATGTTATCTATGCTCTAGGAACATTATTGATCAAATCTATTTGATTGCAACTCACAATAGGAAATATAGTTTAAATCACAGCATAGGATACACTCTCCCTCTCCCCCATAACTAAGACAAAGGTTTTACAAAGCAATACTTGCCCTTAGTCGATATGCATTCTGACTTTAAATTCTATGTAATTAAAAAATAAAATTGATTTTTTAGTCAGTTTGAAAAAAACTGCTCTGGAAAATAGGAGACAGGTTTCAATCTGTTGACAAACTATAAAGTTACTAGCATTGCTGAAATAATTTCGTTCACGGAATAATAAACTTACCTCATTTATTTGAATCATAAGTACCATCTCTCAGACTTTAGAACCTGTAGAATCTTTTCCTCATTGGAACTCTAGTTCATTACAATATCTCATAGATTCTGAAACTCATTGTTTTTCACATTTTAACATCTCTGAATTCAAGATGTGTCTTTAAAAAAAATCAATGAGCCGTAACCGGTTTGGCTCAGTGGATAGGGTGTCAGCCTGCGGACTCAAGGGTCCCAGGTTCGATTCTGGTCAAGGGCATGTACCTTGGCTGCCGGCACATCCCCAGTGGGGGGTGTGCAGGAGGCAGCTGATCTATGTTTCTAGCTCTCTATCCCTCTCCCTTCCTCTCTGTAAAAAAAATCCATAAAATATATATTAAAAAAATCAATGGCATGGCATAGTTTAGTTGGTAGGTCTTTCTTTCTTCCTTTCTTTCTTTCTCTCTTTCTCTTTCTTTCGTAATATGAAATAATGGTGAATCTTAAATTCCACGATTTCTTAGAGTTTCTATGAAATATATTAATAATAATTATTATATATGCCAAACTCTACTGCTTACTCATTTCAAAATATCCAGTTGACCAGAAAACTTTTTGATGTGTTATTAAGAAAATGTAGTGAGATGAAGAAAACTGCTCAAGAAAAAACCTTAACAATGGAAGGAAAATGTTACAAACGGAGTTTAGTTACTACAGAAAGCTTTTCCATGTGTTTTCTTATTGGCATTTGATTATAAACTTTCTGCTTTTCTATCTCCCTTATTTCTGTATTTTTTTTTTTTTTCCTTTTTGCGACTAGCATTTTATTCTTTTCCTCCCATCAACAAGGTTGAGGGAAGATTCCCTCTGAAAACGGTTAAAAAGAAGGCAAAAGGTTATGTCGAAAAGGCAAGGTACTTAAATAAAGAATGAGGCCCCTCCGATGTGGCTCAGTGGCTGAGCGCGGACCTGTGAACCAGGAGGTCACGGTGGGATTCCAGGTCAGGGCACACGCCAATCAATGACGCCAATCAATGACTCTCTGTCATCATGGATGTTTCTTTCCCTCTCTCTGAAATCAATAAAAACATGTTGGTTTTATAAAAAAAAAAAAAAAGTAGGCTTTATTTTAAAAATGGAACGAATTGCCAAATACCCAACTGCCACCGGCCTAACACGTTGTAAAAACTTAATGGACTGTAAAACTGGCACGAAGGATCCTGAACAGGACTAGGAACAAAAATAAGTTTGCTATTTTCATCCAAGTGTGACTGACATGCACCATCCGTCTCTTAAAAACGAGAACCTCTAATGAAGAAAGCAGTAAATTAAGTGCCACAGTTCACGTGTTACTAGAAATAGGAACAAGCAGTTACTGCTTTCCTAGCCAGACACCACGAGACCTTTTTTTCCTTTGTTTGACTAAAACTTGAGCAAGCCCCAGGCCAGGAGGCGGGGCGGGCCGAGCGAGCGTGGCGTCGCGAGCCCTGAGCAGGGAGCTCGCAGGCGCCGTGCGCTCAGCCCGGGCAGGACCCTGCACGACCGGTCCCGCAGGCCCAGCCTCGGCCAGTCACAGGCGTGGGGCGGGCGGGGGTGGGCTCGCAGCCCGCGGCCGCCCTCGGGTGTGCGGAGGCGAGGCGGCGGCGATAAGACTCCGGCAGAACCTGGCGCGGCCAGCTGCTCGGGCGTGGTGCCGCCGGGCCCGCAGGGGAGGCCTCCGGCGGCCGCCCCCGCGCGCCGTCACGTGACGACAAGGGGCGTGGCTGCAGCCCGCGCGCGGCCGGACACGGACGGGGAGGGCGCTCGAATGTGAAGATTCTCCGCGGCTCCGGGGACCCAGAGAGGCGGCGACACGGCCGATGACAACATTAGGCCGCGACGCGCTCCGGGCCGGGCGGTAGTGGTGGTCGTGGCAGCCCCAGCGGCTGCAGCGTGAGCTTTCGCCGCGGCGGCGAGTGCCACCGGTTCCCCACAGCCCGAGGCAGGTGGGGGCCCGCCCCGGCCGGTGGACCGCGCGGGCCGGAGTTCCCGCCCCCCCGGAGCGGCGAGCCGGCAGCGCCTCCGCGGCGGGGAGACAGCCCTCCGTCTGGGCTGTCTTCCCAGCTTCCGCCGGCGACGGGGGCCGAGAGAAGTTGAGGTCGGACCGGACGCGTGCAGGGCCCCAGAAGAACCGGCCCTCTGGGCCCCGCCAATCCGGCGGCTCCGCACCGGTGAGGGTCGCGTGGGTCCCTGAGTTGGGGGGGCGGTGGGTTCGCACCCCTACGGAGCTGCACCTCCCGAGCCTCACGTTCTGAGCTGGGGCCGCGGGGACTCCGGGCACCCGCCCCGGGGAGTTCCTCTGAGGCTCCTTTGTCCCCTCCCGAGTGGGGGGTTCCAAAGGCCGGCGCGGTGCAGTGTTTGGGGGCCCACCGTGGGTGCGTGTGCCTCCTTCCACCGCGGCAAGGGGGCTGCGGGGAGGTGCGAGCCTCTGGGCCGCCCTGAGTGCCTGCCTCCTCCCGAAGTCTCGGGGTGCGGCCGGGTCTCCCGGAAGCCCCTGCGCCCGGGGCGGTGAAGGTGAGGCTCGGGGTTTCCCGTGCCAGCCCTGGGGCGGAGGCTGTGCGCGCCGCAGGCTGCACCGCCCTGGCACCGCCGGATGACACCGCGCTGTTCCTCTCGCCTCAGTTCCTGTGGCCTCCGTGTAACGCAAGAGGAGGGCGAAGCCTGAGCTGTGCTCGTACATTTAAAGTTGGTTTCTAAGCCCCTTCTCGGGAGTGGGACCCGGTTCCAAGGAGCTTCCCAATGGAGTGTGCTCTCGGGTTCATGGAGACACCCACTCGAGACCGGCGGAGGGGGCGAAGCAACTGTATATGCAGATTTTCCATTCACAAAAGTCATTTAACACTTTGTGAGGTACAGCTGCGCTGGGGAACGCACCCAGTTTCATCTGATCTATATGCTGTCTGAAATGATAGGTCACTCGGGCTCCTACTTAAACAGGTTACAAAACTTATCTGATGACATAAGCATATTTGCTTTAAATACGTAGTTTAATGAATTTTTTTTGCCTTTCTGATGCTGGAAGACTTAAATGGCATCTGAGTAGAATGCCCTGTGTATGGTAGAATTATTAATGTTTATTAACTTGCCCAGAAATTAAGGCTTTTTTAGGAGAGCAAGGATCGTGGGTGATTTGCTTCTTAGGGTTTGTGCATCCCATCAGGCATCGTCTATCTAAACGGATCACACTCTGAAGCTATGGTCAGTTTCTATGCTTGCTAGAACCTGTCTTGGAATGAAATTACTAAGATCATGCTAGTTTTGTAAAACAGGTTGGAGAAGGGAGAGTAAGGGAATGCAGTTTGTCCTCTTGAAAATACAACTAATATCAAATATCTGTTACTTCTTTATTTGATAGCAGTTATGCATGGATGACTATGGTATCCTTGTTCAGAGTACTAGGAAAGGGAATAGAGGAAACATAAGAACTACCTTTTAGGTCTTTAATTATGGAGATTAAGTCCTTGGGGTCAAATTCCATGTGAACCGTTTGAGCCACCATGCATTGTACACTGGTGCTTAGAAATGCCTGTTTAATTAAAAAATGGTCATGGTTTATTTTTCTTTCATTGAATCATAATATTTATTGTACCTGTGATATGTAAAAAGATGCTATATTTTTGCAGTTAGAATGTTACTACATTTTAGAGGCAATCAAATGCTTCTTTTAAAAAATACTGATTTTGAGAGAGAGACAGAGATAGACAGTTGTTCCACTTACTTATGCATTCATTGGTTGCTTCTTGAATGTGCCCTGATTGAGGATCAAACCTGCAACCTGGGCATATCAGGATGATACACTAACCAGATGAGTTACCTAGCCAGGGCTACTCAAATACGTTTCTTAGAACACATTTATGGCACTTAGGAATTTGGTAATATCTAGTTTTTTGTCTCATTTTGAATTGAAAAACCTTAAAATATGCTTTGAGACGAAATTATACAATTCTAAAGAAAACTAGTAAAATACACCTAAGCCATCAAGAAATAAGAAATATACAATTTTGTGTAATGGGGTTATATTTTGGTTTGATTTAAGAAAAAAGTAATAAAATTATGAATTTACAAAATCTGCATTATAAAAGGATCTCCTTTTAAAGGACAGATTGTAGAATTTTTTTTAACTAGAGAATGTTCTTAGTACATTTAAATTTGATTTGTTTATAAATAATCCTCCAAGAACAGGTTACTTGTATTGAAGTATGAAGGACAAAATAAAGAACTGATACTTAGCGTTCTAATTATTATTTTGGAAAATTATTATCCTAATAGCAATACCTGAAGAATTGCATTTTAATATTTATATTATAATATTTAAAGCTGAACACATTTGTAGTAATGATCTCTGATCATCAGGGGATTCAAAAGTGGAAGACATGGGCCCTACCTTATTCTTAGGAATATGATCTACAAACAATATGTAAATACAAGTTGCATAAAAAGCTGCTTCTAAGTACTTTATTTTATTTTTAAATGTATTTTATTGCTTTTTTACAGAGAGGAAGGGAGAGGAATAAAGAGTTAGAAACATCAATGAGAGAGAAACATCTATCAGCTGCCTCCTACACACCCCCTACTGGGGATGTTCCCGCAACCAAGATACATGCCCCTGACCGGAATCGAACCCAGGACCCTTCAGTCCGCAGGCCAGTGCTCTATCCACTGAGCCAAACTGGTCAGGGCTCTAAGTACTTTATTAATGAAGGTGGCTGTTTTCAAGGAGATTGATGGAGGTACTTGATTATAGCAATTGCAATTGCTCTGAAGTATAGTAGTTTCCTTGTAAATGGGACAGAGAAAGATGTCTGGACTAATGTGAGATTTCATGTCAGCATGGGGGAAACCCCTGAGAGATTTTTAGATCTCTCCTTCCTTCCACCTTGGTCCCCATTCCCTCATGTATCTTCTCAAAGGTGTGAAGCTGAGGGTCTCATCTGGAAGACCTGATATGTGGGATTTTTCCTCCCTGAAAAATGTTATCAGGTTTTCAGGCTTTCTTCAGAGACTTTGTAGGGAAGGAATCCTTGCCCTGGAACATCATACCCTTAAACCCTGTGTTATTTAACTTTGTTAATGTTGCAAACAGTGTAATATGCCCATGATAGCAAGGACCTTGTCTATTTTGCTCATCATTGACCCAGCAAATGTTATTGAATGAAAAAATGTAGTTCCAGATACATGACTAGAGAACAAAAAGGAATATGTGATAATGTATTCCAAAGTAGATACAAAGCAGTGAGATGAATAGGATATTGGCTTCCGGAGAGTGGAGCAGGTCTTTTAATCAGGGAATCTTTCTTGGTGGTGTTGTTTCTTAAGTTAGGTCTTACTGAAAGCGGTATACCTGAAGATAAGCAAGTTTTCTAAGGGGGTAGATAGCATAAACCAAAGCATTTAACTTGTAATCACATCAGATTAAACACAGTCATTTTTGGTAACATGAAGAATTTTTCTTCTCCTAGAATAGAACTGTCGCCTCTACAGATAAGATTGTCATACCTTATAAGACCTAAGGTTTTGAGTACTTGAGTTTTGAAAGTGACAGTGGTACAGTGAAAGCAAGAGAATTAAATGTGGGATCAGAAAATCTGAATTATATTTCTGATTGCATTTTATACAAGCAAGTGTCCTTGGGCAAATCACTGGGCCTTAGTTCTCTCACAATCCTTATTCCATATGAATGAAATTACACAATGTATATGAAAATGCCTACCTCAGTATTTAGCACATAGGGGAAATCAACAAACATTAAATTATTTAAAACATTTATTTGTCTTTAGATATTTAAAAAATATTTTGGTGTATTTATCAAGAAATTTAATATCTACTTGACCAAGTGTTACTGTTGTAACTAGCTAGCTGATATTAATAATAAGAAAGGAACAAAGGGGAGGTCAGACATTATAAGTATGGTTGTCTGGGCTGGAAGCTGCAACTTTTCACTCCCCAGGGAACCACCAATTTCCATTCCCTGCAGATCACTGGGGAAAGGGATCAAACAAAGGGGAAGATTGCTGTATGCATAGTGAAGGGGTTGCATAGTGAAGATGCTTGTCTGTTGGTCTAACCTGGAACTAAGATAATTGGCTAGGAGGTTGAAGCCACCATAAGCCCGAGAAAATTTGGGAATACATAATCCCTAGGCAAAGGAATTCTCTCTTTCTCGTTCCTTTAACTTTGCTCCTGCCTCCTTGCAGTCATATTCCCTCCATAGCCATGTGGCCCTAAAGTCGCATGGACCATGGCCATGTCGACTCCACATGCAATGGACTACAGCTGGGAATAGGAGCTAAATAAGCTAGCCTGATGTGCAGATATGAAGCAGAAACTCTGGACAGCAGCTTTAATCCTAGCTCTGCTGAAGACATATCTGGACTGGTGTCGGGATGGAGGGAGATAGAGACCTTGGAAACTCAGAATTCCACAGAAATAAAACTTTTCATGCAAATCAACATCACTCATTCTCCTGTGTTTGTCTCAGAAAACTCATGGTTTCATGGCAAAATTAGATGCTTGCTTTTCTTTCAATCACGCATATGCTTCCTGATAGAAATGAGGCTTGATTGTGTTACTTCTTAATATTAACACAAAGAATGGTAGATGCCTCAGATTTTTAAAGCTTCAAGTAAGGGATATGTATGGTTGAAAATCTGAGCCTTTAGGCTTTTCTTCTAAACAATCTGTTTTTGAAGAAATTGCTTTACCTGTCATGCCATCTGTCTAGTCATTGTTGTGAAGAAATGGGATTTTCCTACTATTAAGAAGAAAAACTACCAAAAATATTCTCTATATGTTTCTAGTGCTCTGAGTGATTGTAAACCATGAAGGATCTCTACCTGCTGTTTTATTTTAGAATTCAATATTTTCTGAGCATGCTAATTGACTTTTGCATCATTTCTAATCTAAGCTCTTTGTTCCAGTAGCTGTTTATTCTTCTATGAATCTCAAAATTTCATTATACTTTGTGAAGTCTTTGTAGCGTTTTTACTCTATGGAGTAGTCTGTACTTTGTAATAATATTTGGAGGGGAATTTTATTATTATAAGAAGACTGAAAAGAGTCTTGAGTCTTCAAATGATGAAGAAACCAGTTACCTACCATCTTCCATATTCACAGAGGACTGAAAAAAAAAGGGGAAACGGTTTTAGAGTTTGAAGACTCTTCCAAATTAAGA